TGCTGATCTTTTTGGTCAGCTAAAGACCAATCCTTTAATGTACATGCTGGCTTTTGCTTACTTTGTAAATTCAGAAACCCACAGTCAGAATTCTGTTCATTCATGCACAGTGTGTTAATCAGAGTGAGGTTGAGCACCATCTAGTGGCAGTCAATGATAAGTGCATATGATCCAGTTTAAAGGTGGTAGAAAAGCATGTTTCTCTCGCTGAACTGACACACGTGAAAAAAAATGTTTGATCACATATTTTCACACATTTCACAGGTGAAATATGTGTGACTTTTCTGTAAGGGAAGACACACGTCATTACGTGTCCAACTCAATTTTATGTGCACTGTGCTTTTTACAGTGGACACTGTCACAAAGCAGCTTTATAGAAGTAGTGGTTCTGATGTCTAATGACTAAGCTCAGAGCAACAGTAGCAAGAAAAAACTCTATGAGATGATAAAATGTGCCTTATTAAAGTATCGTGTGCATCATGGGGAAAAGCACTTGATAAACGAAATGTTACCCATCCTTCTCTGGGCAGCATCCAACTCTGCTCAATCAGTCTCTGCTGTATTCCTTGTGTTCTTGTGAAGGATTTTTGCCCCTTAAAAGGAAGAAGTGGTGCGTTTTTGTCATCCCACATCCAAAACTGATGTGCTCAAAGAGGGGCATTAATGATTGTCAGGGGAAAGATTTTGGAATTTGACCTAAATTTAAAATTCTTTGACATCCTGATTTTCTTTGTCAAACGACCTCTTTGATTTCTTATGCTTTTGATTCTGACTTCCTCAATTTTATATATTTTGCCCAGCTGTTGACAAATCTTTCACTCAGATCTTCATAGACCAGGTCAGTTGATTTGCCAGTTGTCCAGAAAAAGGCTTAGATAGATTCTTGATTAAATCCATGTCTCCTTATGTCCATCTTTTTCCAAGTGATGTGTCTAGTGTTGCCAGGTGTTCGGTCTCCAAACAGTCAGACTAGTTTTGGGCCTTGTTGTCCATTTTCAACTGAACATTTAAATGTTGCGTCTCACTCTAAATGCTTTCTATTTGTTGAAGTACACAAAGAGTTTCTACTGTTCATTATAGAACATATGAAGAAAAATGTACAAACAAATGAAATAAACCAAAGAAAAAGTCCAGCAGTGAACTAGGTCTTCACCAACCACTGACACCTGGAGTTACAGCATGCAAGAGCAAATTTGGAAAAATCGTGTCAGCTCACTTTTAACTTGTCTGCCTGACAAAATATTGTTTTAATAAAAAAAAGCCTCCTTCTTTCAGAATAGCCAATGCACAACTGCAGTGCGTAAGTACATAGACTTTCTGTCTTCACACATGCATCATTATACTACACCTTGGCATGTTTTTCCTGGCAACACAACATTTAAAATAGTCTAATTTGATGTTGTTATGTTTGGTTACTATTACACACCAATCTCCAACAAAAAGAGCAACTGATGAACTGTGCATCAGATTCCTTTCTTTTTTAAGTATCCACATGATACCTTGTTGTTCTCCAAACATATACCAGCTAATACTGTATCCAAAGACATTTTTACATCCTTTGTCATTTACAGCACAAAGCAGAAGGTCCTAAAGTGGGAAACTACATTGGGCTTAGTCATCAGCGATTTAACAGCAGACATGAAATTCAAGGCTACAAAAAGCTTTAAAAAAAGCATTTTTGCGATGAGTCCTGCAGTCAGTGTAGCCAGGATGGCCACTAAGAACAGGCCTTGGATTAGTACTAAGGTTCTTAGACAGCAGCTACCCCACAGCTGGTGGTGCTCTTAACTTGTGGAGTGTGGTGGAGCTGGTGGAGCTTTCCACTAGTGCCTCCTAGTTAGAATATGGCCCAGTTAAACTGCTGTAGTGTATTTTCCGACATGTTGTATTATCTGCTTAAACCTGACAGCACGTCCATGGAAATAGCTTAGATTTCCAACACAGAGCAGCAGTGGTTATACATTTTAGTGCATTAAAAAAGTTAACTGTATTGCTCCTTTCACTCAGAAAACCCTCTTAATTATCTGTGATCTTCCTTCCTAAATGGTTCACATTACCTTTCAATTAAAGGTAATGTGAACCATTTAGGAACTATAAATGGGAAAATTATAGTAAAAGTGTTACAAAAGTAACAAAAAGTTCACAGTTATAAGAAATATTCCTTCCTAAGACTAAAAAACAGATTACTTCTGTAGGAACACCCTATTCAAATTGTATGGCCTTACCCAGGCCTGGATTTTGCTTACAGTGGACTAATGGTGTTTTTCATCATACACCTATACCTTAATCATACACCTACACCTTAATCATACACCTACACCTACACATTTTCATGCTTTGAAAATGGGGGTTTATTGTGGTCAATGCTCTAAACAACTACATCATAGTAACAACTCTCTGTCAGTTCCATCTGAGAACAGGGAAAAATGTTCTAAGCCTTGTGGTTTTAGCATCATTGACTACACCACATGATGCTGTGCTCCAGTATAATTTGTTATACTAATATTTTCTTAATAATTGAGATGGAAAATTTGCTAAACAGCTATATTTGCACGTATAAAAGAAGCTTCATGTAGAAGTCTTTTCAGAGTCCTTCACTTGTGCCTTTAGGGAAGCTGTTCTTGATGTCATATCTAACAATGTGATCAGCGCTTATTCAGCATCTGAGTAGACATATGAAATTACATCTCTGTTCAGGGACAATGTTGACTGTCAAGCACACCAAAACACAGATTGCGTAACATACCTGTGAGCAAAACAGAGAAGTACAGGCAAGTGAAAATGAGAAGGGAACACCATAAGTGTTCCATTTAGGGCCTGTCAAATTATCTACAGATATTTTATCACCTAATGCTGGAATGAATAACAATGTTTTGCTTGCTTTGATTGGGTCAAGATAGAAAGCTAACTGAAATATTAAATTTCATAGATTAATAGACTTGTACTCTACATTCTTAAAGTAAATAGTAATGCTACTGAGCTTATTTCATCAAAGTCTACAAAATGTTGGCCCCTGAAAATGAAAACTCTAGCGAAGCAACAGATTTTAGTAGACAGTTTTTCCTTCTGATTGCTCTGCTTCTGTTCTTAATGATGATGTCAGTACAATAATACATATTTATATTTATCACAATATGTGTATACATGTACCTACATACACACACAACTTGGTCCTAAATAGGCTATTGATACTGATATATAAGCTTATGAACAGTTTGGCAATCAGACATGATAACACTAGAAATATTTACTTGCTCAGGCAATGGCAAACAGGGCACACAGCTTTGGTTTATGCATGTTCTCTGTCCAACCCTCATTGCATTTTTTACACTGTCTGACTGAAGCCTGCAGTAAACTGACAGGCAGAGAGCTCCTAAGTTGAGCCAGGAAGAAAAATTTGGCTTGCCAGTTAAAGCGCAGGAGGGAAAATTCCACCAGCCAATCAAATCACTTAAAGGAACTTTAACTAGCCAATAAGAGCGCAGGATGGAAAATTCCATTAGCTATTCAAACTGGAGAAGGAAGGAGTCTAGGCCACTCACACTGTAGGAGGGAAAATGACACAAACCACAGAGAGGAAAATTCAAAGAAACTATCATACCACATGAGGGAAAATCCTACTAGCCTATTAGAGCATTGCTGAACCAGTCAGTCAGATTGCATAAAGGAATAATTCAACTAGCATAAGAGTGCACAATCCTGGTCCTTGTCGTGGTCCGAAATACCGGGGGTTCTGGGACCAACTAATTAACCTCTTGGACCCCCTAAATGTGTCAAAATAAAAATGCTGGGGGGTCTGTGAAAATAAACTCATTATGATGTAAAATAGATGCTCAAATAGTAATTCAGGGAAAGTTCACTGTTTAGCTGCTTCACCCATAAAAGCGTGAGCTTCTGTCTTTGGTATTCTTAACTAACTAGAGATGCAGCTCTAGTCTGCCTCAGGGTGGCGCTGTAGCAAATTGGTTCAGCCAGCTGATCCTTCATATCCTAGCAACTGTACCTAAAAACTTTACAGTGTGTCGTGTGTAAATCTGAAAACTTGTTCAATTCGACAAGGGACTAGTGGAAAGAGTGAACTATTACTTATTTCTCAAACCAAAGGCAAAATAAGAGATGCATAAGATCTCAATTCATGTGTGGAAGGCCGCATTGCTAGAATATTAGAGCCAGGTATGTTGAATCTGAACGCTCCAGGGTGGTAGACCTCCAAGACCAGAATTGAGCATTCCTGAACTAGCCAATCAGATTGCAGTAGTAAAAATGCCACTAGTAAGAGCACAGGAGGGAAACTTTTAAGGAGGTAAAATTTTACTAGCCAGTCAGAGCCAAGTTCCACTAGTCAATGAAAATGCAGGTAGGAAAGTCTCTTTGACCAGTTCAATTAGTTAATAATTAGTTAATAAAATTGCAGAGAGAAAATTATTTTTTAAAATTTTAATTCATATATTTTATGCATAGGTTGGAAAGCACACAGAAACAACACAGAATTGTATCAAATTATTTTTTGCATCGCTTTACTGAATTTTCAGCCATTTCCAGTCATAATTGTACAGTTATCTCCTATAATTAACCCGCCTATGTGCTTACTTATAACCGCACTCCTACCACTTTCAGCTGAATTGTTCATATAGGGTAAGTGGTGGAAACAAAGTTTAGGTTTTCAGTCGTGGCAGACACTTGAGGGCTGCTTGAACAGAAAAACAAATATTAATCTTAGTCAAATATTTCTAAATTTGTTAAGCAGAAAACAAATATGCTAGGTTCAGCCTCATTCTCTCCTATATATTTTATCTCATAATAGTAATAGTGTGGAAAAATACGTTTGATTTTAATGTAGATTCTGCACTAGTTTATTCAAATCTGCTTTAATTAAACTGACTGTTAATGGACAATTCAGCTCGAGCTTATGCAAAATGAATGCGTGTTTGGAAACTTTTATTTTGAAATGTTCGAATTTGTATTTGTCAGACGGTTCCGGAGTTCAAGCAGTGACGCGGTGTACTGATGTGAGAGGGATGCTAGTCGGGGGTTTGGTCAGTAACTATGTGTCTAAAGAGTAGAGCAGTAAGTAAGTTACTGTTCCCGGAACAGTCAGAATATAAACATGTTTTCAGTATCGACACCTTCCTATTTTAACTAAGGAGTTCGGTCCATGGCGGGTTTACGAGTTAGGGTTACGTTAAAAGCAGTTCATTTGCCAACCAGCTAGCCAGCTTCACTCACGCGCTAAATTTGAACTCGCTGCTCGGTGAGGTTCTCTGGGCTCTACAGTAGAGTCCGTTAGCCAGCCGTGTAAATTTACCTCGAAGTGAAGAGCTGCTTTAGCTGTCATACTCAGAATGCTTGTTTTTCCTCAGTGAATTTTGCTGCACATTTGGCAAGAGCCGGTGAGCTCTGGTTACATCACATTATTAGTCGTTTCAAGTAGTTTTCGCCAGCTTTGTCATCGTCTTTGCGAAGATGCTTCGGAGGACCGTAACGGCTAAAGTGTACAAGGACCCAACAACTACAGACGATGATTCAGATGAGCCGTAAGTGTTGTTTTTCATCAAGTCAAGTCAAGTCAAAGTTTTTTTATATAGAGCTTTTTACAACAGATGTTGTCTTAAAGCAGCTTTACAGAAAAATCCGGGTCCAAGCCCCCATGAGGAAACTAAGTTAATAGCGACAGTAGCAAGAAAAAAAAAAACACCAGTCACTCCCGTGCACTTAGCGTAAAGCCTGAAGTTCTGAATTAGGAGAGTTAAAAGTTACCACTCCGGTCTAAACTGATTACACTGTCACTCTTAAAAAAGATGGTTCTTCAAGAGATCATTAGTGAAGACAGTGGTTCTGTATAGAACCTTTTTGAAAATCCTTTTAGCACCAAAAAGGGTTGTGCTGTTGTTACGATGTCAAGCTTGTAACAATAGAAGAACTCTTTTTGTTGCTATCTAGAACAATTAAAAAATAATTAACACATACAACACATTCTCCATTAATCTAAAGGACCACTTCACCATGCAAAGCAATATTTAAGCATGCAAATGGTTTTTTTGAGTGGTCATGGGTCTATATAGAACCATTGTCTTTTACTAAAGAACCCTTGAAGAACTATATTTTCAAGAGTGTCTGCTTTTCAGATATTTCTTCTATATCAAAGGTGTCATAGTGGGTTTTTATTCCTTTTATGCTGCATTAACAGCCTCTATTCTTTTTGGAAGGCTTTATGCTAAGTGCTGGAACAGTACTGTTAGGATTTGATTGCATTCAGCCTCAACAGTATTGGTGAGGTCAGGTACTGTTAGGGTCTAGGTTTGGGTAGGTTTGGGTCACAAACACCACTCCAATTCACCCTGAAGATATTGGATGGAGCTCCATCACTCCAGATAACAGAAGTGCAATGCTCCACAGCCCAATGCTGGGGGGGATTTATACCCACTCTTGTCGACAATTGGCATTGGGCATGGAGAACTTAGGCACATGTGTGGCTGCTCCAGTGTGTCCCATTCTGCTGGCCTTGCTGTTCCATGGAAATTATACAAGTTGTGTGTGCACAGTTGAATACCTGTATCAGGTGCACCTTAAAGTAGCTTTGAGTTTAATCATTCAATGCGGTGTCTGATTACTTTTGGACATATATATTAACATACGAGTAACTGTAACAATCTGTTTGTGTCAAAGTCAATGATAAGAAGGTGTAAGCTCTCAGGCTGTATCTCCAGGTCAGGCTGTCCAGCAAGTGAGGAGGAACCAGAAGAATGGCTACCAGAGGTGAAAGAGAAAACCAAAGGAAGGGGTAGGAGGAAGAAAGATGAATCGACTGAGAAGAAACCAGCTGCGAAACGAGCAGCCAAACCTAAAGAACCCAAGCCAAAAGCTGTGAGAAAGCCTAGAGCTCCAAGGGCCACTAAAGTAAAGGAAGTTGTTGATAAAGAGAAAGGAGAAGAGAAAAATGAAGGCGTCTTCCAGCAGGTTGAATCACTACAACAAGTGAGGGTAAAGGAGGAGGTAAGCCTGTGTGTCTTGTAATGCCAAAGTACTGTCAGCTCTTACATGAGGTTACTTATGTCAGAGATCTCATGTCTCTACTTGAGATTCATTACCAAAGGGCACTGTGTTCTAAATTGACGTGATGTGGTCAGAAACTGACAAGCAGTGAATGAGATAGGATTGTTGATCAGTTGAGCATAACCACACACAGGCTACAGTGCACTAATATAGTGGACCCATAAGGTAAGTGGACCTTAGAAAGTTTCCAGTGAGTGTAAGGATAGATGTTTCATCTATGTTTGTAAATAATTTTTTCTGTACATCTTTTTAATGATAGTGTTGTCTAATGTCAGAAATGTCCCTGCTGCCAATTGATGTGTCTTTCAGAGGCAGTCCATTAGCATGGACGGAGCATTCAGTATCGGCACTGCCACCACAGGGGTTTTGCTGGGTGAGGAGCCATCGTCCAGTAAACCGATCTCTATGGTAAAGAAAGAGGAGCCTGAGGATGACTTCACCTTTGATGAGCCTGTGCAGAAGAAGCAGAAGACCACAAGCGCACCTCAGGGCAGACCAATCAAGCTAAAGTCTGGGAATTCTGTAGGGGATGAACTGCAGATGACCTGGGATCTCATTAAGGTGCGTTAGTGCTTTAGGACCCTGAAGTCTTGAAGCCACTGTGCTCTACCATTGTGTCCATCATTGTACATCATTAACATTCATTGAATGTATTATGTGTAGTAGAAGTTTTTAAAGACATGTAAAGACTATGTAAATTGAAAGTTCTGTAGTTCCTGTAGTGTCTCAGGATATTGTGTGTGTTTGACTATGGTTTAGGTTTTAGCTGAGAAGACCGGAGTGGAGGAGTGGGTTTGTAGTAACATCATTAATCTGCTGCGGGATGAGAACACCATCCCTTTCATAGTACGCTACAGGAAGGAGCTGATCAACCACATGGATGCGGATGCTGTAAGGGATGTGCAGCTTGTTCTGGAGGAGCTCTGGTGAGTGAGCAGAGGGAGTGGAAAATCTAAAACGTTAGGAGTATGTACAGTAGGATTAATGAGTATTTGAGTTTGTCTCTGAAACTCACCATTTGGCAATAACCTGAACTGCAGAAAATGTATAAGGTGCATTCCACTAGCTAGGCTGCAGCTAAGAAAGGTAGGTCCTCTGTAGTACAGTCATGTGAGAGCTTCTGTGTGGTACAATCTGCAGCACTTTTACCGTTAGTGTGAGCCAGCCCATGGGCTAAGTAGCCCCTCTTACAAACATAGTAGACTAATTTCTGATTTTTGTCTTTATTCTAGGTGTAACAATGCACTCGGTCTACTATTTGATGTATTTTGTGATATTGGGCTCACGATTCGGTATCCTCACAATATAGTGCACTGCTATAAGCCATCCCACACCAAGTCAGAGGCGTCAGGTTGGATTTCACAGGCATTTTTCAGACCATGTTATACGTCTTTTTTTCACCCACACAGGCTCAGAAAGAAGGTCTGGCTCTTTAGGTCTCAAATGCAAAATCAGCATTATACTGATAAAGATATGATGACAGTAGTAGATAATTCGCTTAAATCCTTATAAGACATGTTCTTCACCAGAGTTCTCTTTTGATACTTCGGTAGCGAATGTCAGATTCATGTACTTGGAGTCCGAAGCACAGCCGTCATTACAAAATGTTCTTCCACACGCTGCATGCAGTTACACATTTTCACCAGAGAGGTCTCTAAATCCCCAACTCTTAGACAGTGCAGCTTTAGCAACAGTTGAGCTGGGAGGAAGAGTGCTGGAGACCTCTGTTAATTAGTGCTGGTTGGTTGCAAACTTTGATGTTCAGACAATGCAGTTACATTAGATTAGATTAGTAGAATGTCCATTATCCACAGTCCGTTGTCACAGTTTTGCATTGCGATATCACAGAATCATGATTTATTGTTAAACCCTCATACGTTCATTATACATTTTAAAAAGCTGATACATAAACTACAGCTGCTTTTGGAATGCATCCTATATGAACAGCTTAGTTTTGAACACAAATTCTGCAGACATGATTGCAGATACAGTGGTTTTATCTGCTGGCATTTCTTGTGAACTTTCTTTGAGTCAGTCACACACACACACACACACACACACACACACACACACACACACATACAAAGGATTATGGGTGACAGAACACTGTGTAGAATACTCTAGCAGCATCCTTGAAAATTGTCAGAATGTAGGCTGCATTTCTTGATTATGCTTTGAAGGATCCTTCTGATTAAGCAGCATTCAAACTGCCTGTTGTCAGAACATCCTCAGTTTTAATTAGAATTAATTTGGAAAAATATGCAGGTTTTAGTTATGTATTTATTGACTTCTAGCATTTAGCATGTTCATTATTTTGTGTACTCCTTGCACTTGATCAGACCTTTCCAAAGACTTAATGATGAGTTGGAGGTAATGCCATGTTTTGAGCAGTAGATGGCAGTGGAGACTGTGTTTATAATGAAGTGGCATGCTTGTGTGTGTATTTTAGCTCAGTGGCAAAGAAGAGTCAGTCCATCGCCCAAACACTAAAGAAGGAGGGGGTTCTGACCTCTGAGCTGGAGCAAGCTCTGCGGAGCTGCAGGAGTGCTGATGAACTGGATCATGTGGTCAGGGCACAATGCAATCTGTGTCTTTAAATAACTTGTGTTAATTTTATTTACTTTATATTTATTTGTTTGTTTGTTTATTATTTTTTCCACTTTTTAAAAGCTAATAATATTAGCATTGTGTTGTTTACAGTATGCACCGTATAAGAAGGGCAGTAAGTTGACGAAGGCGCGGCGAGCAAAGCAGCTGGGTCTGGAAGCAGCTGCTCTAGCTCTGCTGCATTCGCCCCAGACGCTTGACCTACACTCATGGATCAAGCCCAACACTGAAGGTACTGCACAGGGAACCCACACAAACATTCATGACATATTATTGTTTATGTGACTCTCATAGGTGTGGGAGGTATACCAGTGTAAAAGTGAACACTAATGTAATATTATACCATGATTTTTTTGCCATACCTTAAGCACAAAAACAACAAACCACAAATAGCTCTGGCCCCAAGTTGGTCTCCTGCAGATCCTTAAAAAGTCTTAAAAAAGATTTTAAAATATTAAGGTCATAAAATATCTAAAATGTCTTAATTTTTACTATTACTGCTAAATTTAAGAATGGCTGATTCTGGACTATTTTAATGGATCTCATATCAGCTAAAATAAGCCTGATCTAGTTCCAATACTTAATTTTTTTAGGGCTGTTTACTCCGCTGTCGTGAGCATTATCCACACCCTGCAGCGTTTTTTTTGTGTTTTAAGAAGGTTTAAAAAAGTGGTCCATATGTCTGCAGTTTTAAACAATTTTACTGTGGCGTATGAAAACTTGTAATGTCTACAGTGGAAGTGTTTCCTTTGTGTTTAAACTAGACATCTTTTATCTGAACGTGGGCACATAAAATCTGAGTATGTTTCTAGGGTTTGCTTCACATAAATAATCCAAGAAAACAAAAACTCAGCTCAACATATATATTACTGTGCTCGAATCAACATTGAAAAAAGTGATTTCACTGCAGAATATTAAATCAAACTAGGTCAGTCAAATGTGATCATGTCAATGTTAAACACACCGTAAAATTAGTCATTTTGAAAATTTCAGCTAAAAACAAAACCTGTTAGTCCAGAAAGTCACATTATGCACTAAAAATCAACTGATTTTACTGTAGTATTAATTAGCAGAGTAGCATAGCTTTCCTAAACTCTGCAGCTATATAATTTATGGTAATGCAAATAGCATCTCTGACTTGGTATTGGCTGATACTTAATATTTAAAGGTCAGTAAGGATACTCAACAAGGGCTGAAAAGTCTGCCATTCAGAAATATTCATCTGACAGTGGTGCTATGGTCAAAATCCACCGCTTATGAAGGACTAGAGGACAGTAAAAAGGTCTTGTAAAAGGTCTTGTAAGGATCGTGCAATCTCAGACCATATATTCATGTTTTTTCAACCAGTCAGTTTAAATAAAATTGACATTAATGAATGCCATATTTGAGTTAATGTGCATTATTAGAAATGCTGTTACTTTGCTCTGTTGAGGTCTAAAAGGTGTTAAAAAGCATTGAATTATGCAGCCTGCCAACCCTGCTAAAATATAAACATGACCAACAGGAAGTGTGAACAACTTAAATATAAATCTCAGTAATCTGAACAAAAAGCATACTTAACAGCAGAAGTAGTAACTGCACTGCTGTGGGCTGCTTTCAGAACCTTGAAGGACTAATAAAATTGAATGATGATTATTATTATTATTATTTTTTATTATTGTTATTATTATTATTATTGTTGTTATAACTGTTATCAATCAGAATTGATAAGAATTCCCAGTTCATTATCGTCTGAATAGTGGAAAATACGATGATATAAGGAGTTCATCGCCCACCCCTACTATCATGCATATGTCCATGCTTTGGCTGAAGTGTTTGTACACATTTTGCAGTTTAAGTTTGATATTATAATCACCCCAGGCTTTTTCCTGAAAAACTATTTTTTCCTGATCCTCCACTTCAAGTAACAGATTTATTGGTCACTAGAGGGCAGCAGAGCACTGTGACATGAGTGACATGAGTCTGGAGCATGAATTGAAAAGTCTTCCAAAGTGTTCGCGTCTTAAATGTTGAGATTTTAATTTCATCTACAGTTTTGCAGGATGGATATGTTGTGTAATGTATTTTAATCATACACTGAATCATCTCACGTTCTGATGGATCTTTGAGATGTGTTTTCTTGACCATCATGTCTTGTTAGTCTCGTGACCTGATGGAGTGATGATTAGTATTTGAGTGTTATGAGGAAAGTGTATGTCTTGCTAAAGCTCTTATGAGTAACTGTGTAGTAAGTTTGTGTGTTGTGTTGGTTTTACAGGGTTGTCCACTCTTGAAGAGGTATCCACAGGTGTGGAGCAGATCCTGGCTGATATGATGGCGAAAGATGGCGAGACACTGACTTACGTCCGATCACTGTGAGATTCACATTAGCCTCATCCAAAGTTTTATTGCTTTTCATTTTTAAATGCCACATTCCTTACTAGTTGTTTTAGGTCTCTGGTTCTGTATTCTTTTGTTTTGCTGTTGCAAACACTTACTTGTGTGTATGGATGTCCCTTCACAGGTGTGACAGGAGTAATGTGACAATCCAGTCAACAGTGTCTAAAACAGCTCTGAAAGAGCAGCAGCAGACAGATCAGAAGAGCAAGCCCAAAGATATCTCTAAGTTCAGCCTGTACTGTGAATTCAGCTGCAATGTACAGCGTATCCAGCACCATCAGGTACATAAACAGCCTTCACAGGACACATATTTTTAGTAGTTTGAGATTTTAATTGTAGAGGTTAAATTACAATTACAAATGATTTCTGAAAAATATTTGTATGTTTAAACTGCTAATTAACACACACTTGGCATGTCTCTAATGAGTAGGGGTTCTTTGTTCATGCTACTGATTTAAAGAAATGCTTCACTGTTTTTCAGTCTAATCTCTGCCAAAATTCAAGAATAAATACTTGAAATATATCACCATACAACACATTCTGAACTACATCTTAGGACAAAAAACATAGATTGTCTTACCAAAGCCTTTGTTTTGACGTTTTATTGATCCTTGAACAGAGTTGGCAGAGTTGCTTTTGCTGTCCTTCATTGTTTCTGGTGTTCAGTTGTGATTATGCCTGTGAAAACCGAAGAAAACTCCACATCAATAAAATAGTCTCTCACGTTCATTTTAATAATAGAACTCGACATGTGCCCAATGAGTCAGATTGTGATGAATCAGATTCTTTGAATATTTGAATTGTCACAAAAGTAAAAAAAAATAATAAATCAAATGGTAAGTTGAAGCATGAGATGTCTGAACTCATTACTCCACCAGAGGGTTTCTTATTGGTTTAGTCCAACAAAAGAAGCTTTGAAAGATTCCTGCAGCTGACCAAAGGCTACCAAGAAGCACAGCACCACACCAAACTGCAAGAGGGTCTGTGGAGCCAGATAGTGGAGAGTGTAAAGCACAACTACAGCACATAGCAAGTGTTGCAGAGAAGCACTCCTGTTTTTGAGTTAAAAGATGTAAGGTGATATACAATAAGCACTTATGTAAGTTGCTCTGGATAAGAGCTTCTGCTGAGTGCTGTGAATGTAAACGCAAACAATGTGACTAAGCTAGTAACACTAGCTGAAGTGAAAACAGATGGTTAGCATTTGCATGTTTATCTTGAAGAAATTATACTGACTGTTTTCAATAACAAGCCACGTCACCTGCTACAGATTTGTTTTCCGGGTTTAAGTTTAATGTAGTACAACAATAGGGAGATGTCAGTGACTCTACTGTGTGTGGTAGCCAGTAGCCTCAATAGAATATCTTTGCTGTCGACCATCTACCATTATAACGTAAATGCAGCATAAGAGTCCTATAATTTTTTTGAAGGGCGGTGGGTATCATTATAATATTTTGTAATTAATGCCTTACTAATTGCAAATTTGAATATCAAATTTGACTGAAAATCCCATCTACTGCTCAGTTGCTCCCATTTTGATTGAGTTTTAAGTCAACAGGTTTTCTGTTCTTTTCAGTACAGGGTAACGTGCTGAAATTATTTGTTGTGGTAATCAGTCATACTCTACAGATGCAGTGGATAGAGATTTGGTTGAAAAACTCTGCGGTATTACTGTTTCTGCTAACAGTTTATCACAATGCATAAGTTTGGGCAGCCTGGTCGAATTCCATGTTTTCTTGATTATAAATGTGTAAATAAACTACCTCTACAGAGAACACACTTCTGCACATTTTAATGCACAATTGCTGTTTATTAACACAATTTAACGTATTGGAAAAAACATTAAAATGTGACCTGTGCAAATGTTATGGCACATTTTATATTTCATGTACTATTTTAAAGGATGTGTTAACTCGTATTCACTTAGAAAAATCATGGAGTTTGACTGTATAACCAATTGATATCTTTTCATTTTACTGGATAGAGTCTATAAATAAAACCTCCTTACTGTATGTGCTTGTGAACGAGCTAAATCTGGAACTAGGTCCACTTGCCTGTACCTTAGTGACTGTTTGTGATTCCACATGATTCCAGCTGGTGGTGGAAAAGTGGTGTTAGTATGCTGTAATAGCCACCTGAAATGCCAGACGCTACATCATATGGACACTTGAACAGACACACACCTCTTTCCCCAGCTTTCTGTATGCAGCGTCAGTCCTGTGGCATTTCCCCAAGTCCTCTGTGCCACTCTGCAAAGCTCTCCTGTCAGTGGTGCTTAGTGCTACCTCAGTATGGAAGCCGCCCCGACTGCTGGCACCCTGGTTTACTCAGAGTTGGTTGCAGGCCACATGTCACAGTGGCTCTGTCATGCTTTCATCCCTCTATCCTTTTTCTTTCATCCCCTTTCTCTGTCCTCCAGTCATTCCCCCTCTCCCCTCCTTAACATATGTGACATGTCCCCATCCACGTGGCTTTGGATTAGGGGCTAAGATTGACAGACATTCTTGCATGATGACAGCTGCTCATGGGCTCTGTGAGAGAGGGGACGCAGAGAGAGAGTGAGTGGGTGGATGAGTGAGTGAGTGAGTGAATGAATGAGTGGTAGAAGGCTTGTCTCCTCTGAAGCGTTCAGCATGGCTGACGTTGTTAATTTGGTGATGCAGACTGTCAGCGAGTGTTAATTTGAGCTGGTTGTGACCTGTGAGCTGTCGCACTGCGGCTAAAATGAACCTTTTCGTGGCTTTGTTAGCTGGGGAGCGGTGTGGAGCAGTGTGGGATGTGTTGTGACAGGAGGCATGTGTGCACACACGTACTTGCTTGTTTGATTTAGCACATCAGAAGTGAGTGTATTAAGGCCAGATTTGTGTGTATGTGTGCATGCTTGTATTTCTACACTTGTGAAAACCAAATTCCCTCACATCTCTATAACAATATGTAGATTTTTCCTACTTCACAATTGGGGGTGTAGTTTTTAAATAGAAAATACACCCTTACATTTTAAAAATAAAGGACCACATTTATTTATTGATTAAGTGATTTATTTGGAGGGTCAGAGTTAGGATTACTGGACATAATTGGTCTTCAATTCAGGTTGAATAAAATCTCTTGGATGAAGAAGGAATGCGATAATACAGTGTAAGCAGCAGCATTTTAATTCATCGTGAATATATTTATGTTACTTATTTATTTCATAAAATTGCAATGCAGATTGGCCAAAATCAAAATAATATATTGCATGTTTGGAGCAAAATTTGTATCCCTAATCTGAGCATGGTAAGATAAATAATTGGCATAGACTTGGTTTGGAATGCATAAAATATCTACTACATACCTGACTAATCCTTTCAATAACTACTCTAAACCTGGATCTAGTTGTGCTTTAGATTTTCAGGATTCTAGAGCCGTATAAGAGTAAGACCTTTTTTCCCCCCCTCAGCCGTATGGTCCTGCAGTGATGTGTGTTGACTGTATGAAATCACAGCGCTCTATCTTTCTCACTCACTGATTGGATGCATAATTGTGTACATCTGAGGAGCTTTAGTGGTTGAGCAGTGACACATGAACGTGACCTTTGGTAAGATATGGTCCTTGAGATCTTTGGTAAGATATGGTAGTGGGTTGTGAGGCTGACTTGTGTTTCTGACCAGAGTGCTGTGCTGAGCTTGACTGGTCATTCTCAGCCCTGACATACATATAAACACACCTACAGTAGGTGTACAGTGTTATATAGAGATATATATACTTGCTTGCATCTGAATTCAGACATTTGATGTCATATTTTCTAGAATTATGTGGTTTCATCTTCTCGATGGAGGTTTACATCCAGATTTTACAGAAAAGCCAAAAATACCTGCACAGTTCTACTTAAGTTCACAGTTTGTAACCTGTTTTGATGTGATTAAAAAAGATAAATCACCGAAGTATTTGACGTCACTTTCTTCTCCACTGTCAGAGCTTGAGTTTTACAGTAGCTCTATTTTGGATCATGCAGCAATTTGAGTGGTCCCAATACAACTCAGAATGTTAAAAAGAGAGCAACTGACTTAATGCAGAGAGTGAGTTATATTTTCCAGCTGTGCTTTTAATATAGGTTGTCAGTACACTAATAATTCTGTCTCTTTCCGTAGCTCTTAAGCACTTGTTCTCTTTGAGATTTGCCATCCTGGGTTTGATTTTGTATATGCGACTCTAATTGGATCACATATGTGCTGTTCTTGCTTGATGTTAAAATGAGGAGAAGAGGGAAATTTGCATGCTTACATGCTTACAGTTCTGCCTTTCCACAGATTTGCACATTGCAGTGTTCACATTTCCATCACAGAGAGGTGTCTGGGCAGGTGGATTGGTGGAAGGAAAATGTTTTCTGATAATCAGTAAATGACAGAAATTAACACTCAGATTTTCTAGTAAATTATCAAAGGACAGACTGTTGTGATGTAATTAAAGCAGAATCATTCTGATTGTTGAATGGCACAAATAAATCTTTCAGGTAACTCCACTGTGTGCAAAGTGCCCAGCGAGGCAAATCTGTAAATTACAGCTATTGCAGTATTTCCTAATGCTCAAACCATCAAGATATTTAGTCACATGAATAAATTCTTTTTATTTTTTTTTGCTCTACTTCACTCAAAAAATAGGATATTTATTTTTCCTGAGAACAATCATTGGTGTATATTAAGCACTGTGTTGTGTATGTATGTTTTTTCTGTGTGTTAAAAGATAAGAAGTGAAAAGTTCAGCTGTTCCTTTTGTTTTTATTGAGGCCTTCCTATTGCTCTTTTCCATCGCCATTCCTTCACCTTATTTGGAAAGTAAATATTGAATCGGAATCGCTCAGTCTTTAGAATAATATTCATTTCTGTAGCTTACATTCCTCATATTTTTCCAATTATGATTTCATTGTTATTGAAGAACATGATATGTTGAATATTTATCCTTTTTCCCCTTATTCAGAGTTAAAATGCTGAATTCTGGCCTTTTAGATCTCAGAACAGGAAAAAAGATCAAATGCAACAGATTACAACATTCTGCTTAAAACCTGATGAAATCAGTTTTAAAATCTTTTACCAATCCATTAAATAGACATTTTTGTGTGCCTGGTATATTGTGTGGTTTAATGTGCTTTTACATGGATATTTTATTTACAACTTTTCTCTGTTGGTCTTTTTATTCCTCTAAGACAGGGGTGTCAGACTCAACCACTAAAAGGGCCATGTTAAAAAAAATCTCAGCAAATCTGTGGGCCAAAGAAAATATGTTTTTATTTCATTTTTTAATTAGTGTCATGCTATAAGCCAAAATAGCCATTGTTTATTCAAAATATACAAAAACTTCAGCAGTGAAGTACAGGCACTTGTAGTAGACCTTGAAATATTACATGAATACTTGAAATATTCAAAATGTAAATGTTCCCAGGAGCTCCGTCTTTTAAACCTACCTATCTGCTTGAACTAGACACCTGGCATCCTTTCTTTGCTGCAAGTTCATTAAGACTGCTGCTCAATTTCTGAGCTGCTGAGCAAACGTAAGGTGTTTATATTGGTTGAACTGCAGCTGAAATGCAGCTAGTGTGTTTGGTGATATGACTGGTGTGGAATTGTGTAGGACTGTGTAGAATTGAGGTGTAACCACTGTCCCATAGATTGTTGCTGGGGTAGGAGAGTCAGAGCACACATTACTTTGCAGTGCATGCTGGGGACCGAAGTGCAGCAAATTGTGAAATTAAAATACTTTTACGTGCCGGAGAGGATTGTGTCACCGGCCTGTTCTGTCCTGCGGGCCTTGTGTTTGACACATGGGCCCTGAGAGAAATATCTGAGAGAGTTCTCAAGTTACAGTTATTACACATCTTTTTAAAACAACATTGTGTTATATTTCAGAAGCTATAAAGCTCTGTCTTACCTTGTAACTGCAGTCAGATGTTGTTCTGATGTTCTTATGTCCAAATGCATTGATTTTTACCAGATTTGTACAGAACGAGATTTGAGAAATGTGAAATTTGCAGGAAATTTGTTCCACAGCAAATGATGACTGCAGAATCAAAAAGTCTGTTTTTAGGCTTAAACTTAAGTTAAATTGTGTTTTAAAGTTTAAAGGACTGGCTAAAAGAAAATGAGAGCAAGGTTACTAATGAAAAAACTGTAAGAACTTGCTTTTTTATGCATGTGTTTGCTGCAATATGATTCGCAACGTTTGTGTCTGTATGTATCATGTTTTCTGTGTGTTTGTTGCTACATCAAGGCACACTGCAGTTTGAATCTGAAATGTAGTGTGATTTAATAGAGGTGTAACTCTCTTCCTCCTGGCATATATACACGTATAGGATGCTACATCTTGCTGTTACGTTTATCTCACGCAAGGTGTTGTTGCCAACAGTTTTCTTCATTTCTCTGACCCCTGCTGTCTGTCATGGTCTTTTCTTCTTTATCGTTCTCTCTCTCTTTTTCTCTTTTTATATTGAGCTTTGCCTTGAGGTGGTGCAGTGTGTTCTGGATGGTGATTCACGGAGAGCTCTGGTCACTTTCACTCTCGGTGTGATTGTGAACGAATGAATTTGTATATTCCTGGATGATATGTGTTCTGCTCACCAGCCACAAGTCAGCGGTGGGGAGGGGCTTGGACGGAAAAAGTTAGATGGATGTTTGATGTTCTCCACATCTCACGCAAAACTTCAAATGTGATAAACATCGCATGACAATAACACAAGTAAGGAGCTGCCTTAGGGCAGCGATATGCCAAAATAAGGAAATATAATTTTCATCATACTTCTGGCTGCATTAATTTATGGCCTGATCAGGCCATTAGCTGTTTAGTAATGTGAACGGTCTGTTGCGCTCTTGGTGCTGGGCATATGCGTATGTGTGTTGGGGGTTGGTGGCAGCGTGGCATTTGTCAGCTTTGCTCTTCTGCTTCAAGTCCAGATTGATGGGTCATCTTTTCCCTCTTTTTTCCAAAAGGTTTTCCTCAGAAAAGGTCAGACACTTAAAACTATTTGCTTAACAGCATGTCACTTTCCTTTAGAGGACCAGCTGGGGAAAAGTGAGAGAGGCATTTTTTTTTCTCTACGGTACACATGTGTATGTATGTGTGCGTGCACCCACATGGGCTTGTTTTAGTAGGAAACAGGAGGGGGTGGTACTGACAGTGCTCTACCGTGCCAGGCCGTGTGTCTGCTGTCTCTACAGGTTACCCTCTCGTTTCAGACACTGGCCATTAACCGAGGGGAAAATCTGAAGATCCTGTCAGTGAAAGTTAACATCCCCGACTGGGTGAAGACTGACTTCTGTAGGTGGTGTGTCAACGTCAGGTCAGCTTCCCACCTCACCGGAACACACACGCACAACCCTTTTTCTTTCTCTGTGTGTTTGACTACTGAAGCTTGCTTAGCGTTAGGTCAGCAGCTGACTTTCACACTGCCAGGTGTGACTGTTGATTATGCTAGACTTTAAATAAGTGTTCTGGGTTCCAGGGCCATTGGGCTGCAATATGCTTTTTTCTTTGGCTACATTGAACAAAATTCTCTCTCCATATTTTTCTTCATTTCAAAGATTGCAAAATTTGAAATGCAAATATGTCTTTATCACTGGCAAAACATTACTGCTAAGTTACTGTGGATACATATTGTGGAGAATCAAACTTATCTTGCTGTGAAAATCAGTCAAGTTGAACAAACAGAGATATAAACATTTCTACTCCTGTACAAACTAAGACCATGTGACATGTTTTTGCAAGAATTTAAAAAAGTGAAAGTTTTTGTTCAGTGTGTTTAATTATATAATAATAAATTGTAATATTAGTAATAAAATGAAACAACATAAATAGTAAAATAAAATGATAATAATTAAAAATTCATACATTTAAAAGACTTTGGTCTTGTTAACTGCATTTACATGGGTTTAGCTCACATTCTTACAGGCCCATAACATTAAACAAATATTTGGTAGCAGTAAATACAGAAATAGTCATTTTTTATGTTATTTTAGTGTTTACTGTGTAGTGTTTTTTGTAGGTTGGTGTATGTGCTTCATCATTTGTGTCCTTCATGTGTTGCAGGTGGAGGCCACAGGGGTTTGCACGGCCAGAACTGATGAAGATTTTAAATGCTGCTGTGGAGGATTCTTACAAGCGGCTCATAATGCCCCTGCTCTGCAGAGGATATAGGTTACTCCTTTTTTTATATTCCTTTAGTGTTACAGTTTTAATTTCCGGAATAGAACTGAAATATAAGATCAAAATAATTAATGCTAAACAGAAAAATTCTCTTTTTCTCTCTTTCTCTCTCTCACGCGCACACATACACACACACAGGACCAAGCTGACCACCAGTGCAGAGAAGGAGTCTGTCGCTATGTTTGTGCGTAACCTGCGGCAGCGTTTGCTGATGTGTCCAGTGCGTGGGCGTGTCATCATGGGGGTGGACCCAGGATACCGCCATGGCTGCAAACTTGCCATCCTGTCCCCTACAAGTAAGAGCATGTTACACAGTTATTGTCTGCTTTGCCTTGTTTTTCGTCATTTTTAAGGTGACATTAATTTCAGCTCACAACTCTAGCATTTTGAAAGCTGAAGCGTCCCCCCCACTGTAGAAATGCTTGGTTGTTATGAAGTGGGAAGCTTGGATACGTCTTGTACATCTGAGATAGCTGTGTAGTTGTAAATGAACTGTTTATTTTAGTTGTTTATAAATGCTATGATCTTATGCTGTATTTCATCTGAATAATGGGTGCCGTAAAAAATTTATTATTTTACTGCAATGTTAATCGATAAATGCTTTCAGAGTCTGTAGTTTGTACAACCATACAATGCTGATTACTTTACGTGGGTAACAACACAATATTTCTGAAATTCATGCTTCTTTCATTCAAACTCTGGATGCATTTATCTATCTCCAAAGTAAAAAATAAATTCATTTTATAGAAAGAATGTCGAATTAATTTTCTTTAAACCTTTCTGACATTTAAATTGAAATTCTTGTTGCTTTCTCGAGGCGCTGTTGTTTTTCCAAATGCAAATAATACAATGTATTTGTTAATTATCTTATTTAATATTTACAGCAGATTTGAGGTGATCGCTTTCCCTGATTGTTCCCTGATTGACAGAGAAATTTATAAACTGTCAGTCCCAACAGAGCAAGTTCAATGGTAACATGAATTACTTGTGATCTGATTTGCAAGTGTTAGGGTGAGTGCCTGTTGTGCCCTCGCAGTGAGCGGGCCGCCATGCTGGGCAGCGTGTGCCCGGCTCGCGGGCGGCTGATCGGCCCGGCGGGTGTGTGTCAGGTGGCATTGCCATGCTTTACCACCTGCCCTGCAGCAGCACCACATGTATCCACACACACTCACACACAAAAATGCTTCATGCCAGGCTCAGCTTGACTGTGACAGGTCTGTGGGAGTGTGGTCAGATGACCTTCTGCTCTCCGGTCATGTCCAGTAGGATTAGCTTGCTTCTTTTAAGCTGACTGCAGATGGCAGTGGTGCTGTCCCTCCTGGAGAGAGGGGGGCATGACTGGAGTATCCTAAAAGAGGATGATTACAGAGGTGGAATTCTTTTATTCATTTGCACTACTTAACAATGACAGTCATACATTTAGATCTCACACAGTGGGCAGACATACAGAAGATTTAAGAAAGAAGGGTCAAAGGTTCCAGAATCTGTGTGTTTGATTACTTAAATTGTAAGACACCTTAAACTTGAGAAAGACATTGTTCAACAATGGTGAAGAGGGACAGGCACACCGAGTTAGGATCCATTTTTTCACCAAAACTGACAACAATTAAACGCAAAACGCTGCCATCAGTATCAAAAACACATTCTGTTCCTATTCCCAGAAGATACAGGGCAGGCGATTTCTGAAATTGTGACTGAAAGATATTTTCTACCGTGGTGTGTGTTCTGTCCCAGAAAGTACCAATTTTTTCAACTGCCCTGAAGCATACATTTTTTTTTTTTGTTTTCATTTAAAGCAGAGAACAAATCTGTTTGGAAATGTCTTTTCTAAAAAAAAAAGACGCCAGTTTATTTCTAATGAACTATTCAACATAGCTGTTGCAGTTTTTACTGTATAGCTCTATTAGCTGTGTTTTTACAACTCAGCATCTAGACTTAATTCAATAGCTCAAGTGTGATTTCACTATTTTCTTTTTATTTTAGAATAACAGGCATGACCTTTATTAAACCTAAAGGTCTAGCAGAAGTGTTGTGCCGTTTAAATAGTTGATTGAACTAATGTTTGAAGTAAGCTGACAAGTTAGTCAGTAAACCTAGTAAAACTTTTTTTCGGTAATGGTAATATTAACTTTATTCAAGGTAGTTTAGTTCAAGGTAGTACTTGAGTAATATTTCAGTAAACATTTTTTTTACTCTTATTAGATAACTTTTAGTATTTTTACTTCAATCACTAGAGTTGCATTACTCTTTCTAGGGCTGAAACTTGAATACCTTTTATATTGAAATCACATTTTGAAAGTGTGCAATTTTTAAGGTATTAATGTTGTTAATAGGTAGACCAGTCAGGAGCAACCAAAAGCATATGTCCTGTGTACATGACAAGACAACCACAGTGAACTGTCAGTCTGGCTCACTATGTCCAGTGTTCAAGCCTCAACTCAGAAAAAGTGGACATTCTTGACTTCTTAGCTAAAAAAACAAGTCTGGACCTCAATATACAGAAAATAAATGCAATTTAAATTGCAATCACAATATTGGTCAGAGAAATTGCAATTAGATATTTTTCCCAAAATTAAGCCCTAGTTTGTCTTGTATTTGTCTTTCACACAAACACACACAGTTTTAGGCTCCTGTCCTATTTTGTGTTTGTCTTCTCAGGTCAGATCCTGCACACAGATGTGGTATACCTGCACGGCTCAGGCAGGAACAGAGAGGCTGACAAACTGCGCCACCTCTTGCTCAAACACAGGTACTGCACTTTTGAAAAGAGCGATAACAGGAGCTAGTGGCAAAAATTATGACCTACAGTCAAGCTTCTGATTAGCTTTTGAACAGTCGTCACCTGTTTGTAAATATTTCAAGGTAATCTACTATACAGCGTGATTCCACTACTCGCTCTCTAGATGAGTTTTTCGGTTTCAGCGGTTGATTGTACCAGTAGCCTCATATAGTTATTGTAATGTGTTTATATGTTAATGTGTTCAATCGTAGATCCTTTTACAAAAATTAAAAAAGTCCAGCAGGGACGCATAACCTCAACACGAATGCAAGACCTTCTTTTGTCTCGCTTGCATATAAAAGCTTTTGCTTTTGACACTTCTCTCTCCTTTACCTTCTCAAACCGCAGCTGCCAGACTGTCGTCATTGGAAACGGCACCGCATGCAGGGAAACAGAGGCCTTCTTTGCTGATCTCATCAAAAGTGGCTTCTTCAGGCCTTTGGATGTGTCCTACTGGTAAGATCAGAAATGAACTGCTTGACCTTAACCCATTTAGTTATTTTTGCTTAGAATGTGTCAGATGAAGGCTGGTAGCGTAGAGGTCATCCTAACTCGATCATTTAAAGCAGCACTTAAGTAGAGCTGAGAGGAAAGTTGTGTTTGTTTGAAGTGAGTTGAAATTCCTCTTAGGATGTTAAGTGCAAGTACAGATTGAAATTTGGAAACACTTGATCAATAAACTCTCAGAGGTAAGAAAATAGCAACTGTGGAACGAAGGAGGGAGGGAGTGAGGGAGGGCGGGAGAGGAAATGGAGCCGGTCTGGAATGTGTAACTCTTGTGGATTTTAAATGGTATCTGGACCTTGTTTGACTGTCTCTAATTAAAAACAAATATTTCTCACCGTCCTTCAAACCAAACCGGTCCGACGTGCTCTCATCCAACTCAAATATGGGCTAGATCTGGGATCGTCTCTTTCTCCATCTAGCTAGACTTGTGTTTGTTGACTTTTGGTTCGGACTGGAGGCCTGCCCAGAACCGCTCTGAAGTGGCCGTTTATGGAGTGCAGCGATGGCGGTTTTCGGTATAGCTCTCCGCATCCCTCAGTGCAGCTTGGATGGGCTGCCAGGTCAGCCTCAGTAATTCTCAGCGAAGCGTGATGCGTCAAAACCGACATCCAAGGCGCTCCACAAGTGGATCCATTTCAACCTCCGTTCAGAAATGGAAGTGGAAGATTTGAGATCTCCGCATAACCCATACTGCATCTTCTGTCAGGCACTGGGCGCCACATGCTTTAGAACTGTTTCCGGTACTGGTAGTCACAGCCAAGTGTTAAAGAAAGCAAAGTGCTAGTTGAAGTAAATCATATAGATTGAATTTCTTATTTTAACATTCTGTCTTGATATTTAAGGATGCTGCTGTTTCAGCTTCTTGGAGGATTAAAGCCAAAACTCAGACTAGAGGTGGACAATATGCTAAAAATATAATGATAGTACAAGAAATTTTCACGGTACAAGATATTTACTTCATTTATTTATTTATTTAACAGGGACAATACACATTAATCAACATCAGGATTTCATAATGTAAATATGCTAGATTTATCGAAATAGCTAATTTTCATCTGCAGTCCCTGGGCAGGTTGATGTTGATATTAAAATAAACAATGCGTCTCATGTAGGCAAAAATCTAAACCCCTAAAAACACAGTCACCTAAGACACAAAACAAATAAACAAGAAGTTTACAAAGATATAATGTGTAATATAACTAATTAATGCGTGACAATATTTATATTTTCTGACATCTGAATTGAAAGTTGGGATAAACAGACAATAGTAACAATATGCTCACAAAAACATATTCACTATACGATAAATAACATTGTATTGCCCACCCCTAACTCAAACGATTCAGTACTCCTTAACTGCAGACTTATTATGCAGCTATTAATGTTAAGACTTATTCAGTAACTTCTATTAATTATTCAGTAACCTCTATGAAAGCAATATATACAAAGTATTATGTAGTTATGAAAGTGAGTTGATGTGTGAAAACATTCCCCCAAATTCCAATCTGTCTTAATTCCACTTAATCAACAGGTGGGTGGTTTAGGTTTCACCCCTGCTGACATGACAGATGTGCTTGCACCAGCTTGTCACTGACACCATGTTGAACTTTATATTTTAAAGTTCATTCAGCTTTTCTAGAATGTTCTGCATTCTCAGATGCCTGAAATGGACACGTCCCTGTTGGAATCTCACTCTTTTCCTTCCATACATTTTTTCCAGGGTTTTTTGTTTAATTTGATTAAAAAAATAGTTAAATAAATGGCTTAAAATAGTTCAAGCGCATGAATTTCACAAGTTCTTTCCCTGTGGATTGTGGTTTTCCTAAAGTCATCAAAGTATTGTCAGCTGAACTGCCCTGGAAAGATCATAAATGATGAAAGATGACCTTTCAGTGCTGGTAACTAAATGTCTTTAGAGGCTTTTGGTCCTGCTGTCTGATCTCAGAATGACCAGAGAAGTCAGGCAATGAATGAATTGACAAAGCCATGCAGTATTATACTGCTTTTCCCATGTAGTATATATGACTGCCCTCAACCATCATGTTTTCATATCAAATGTTCTTCTGTGGTGACAGTTGAGCATCAGAATTGCAGATTAGTGGTCTGTCCTCACCTGATTAGTGGTCTAGTGAATAGCCTGACTCAGCTTGTTCTTTGTTTTCAGATGTTCTCTCGTTGACTTTGAGACTTGACTTTGATCAGGCCAGCTAAAAACTTTGAGAAGGTTTTTTTGTGAGACATCAGGCCAAACCAGGCCAGGACATTTCTTCTACTGATTTGTCCTTTCTTTTAGAGGTTTGCTTTGAGTGCCTTTATGGGGGGGAAATTAACCATGCATGACCTTCTATGGGGCTAGTTCCATGTCATGAAGAAAAGAGAACTGCTTACTTCCCCTACTCACTCCTACTTGGCAGATTGATAGCAAGAAAACTGGTTTTGGCTGTAGTTAAGCTGAATGGTTTTGCTGAACTGTAGCTAAATTGAAAGTAATTGTCTGACATTAGAGGCAGCTGTGTCATATAAAAATGAAAACTCTGCACTCTTGAATGCTTTCTGAACTATTGCGATTTGTGATAGCAGGAGTTTTAAAAGCGCTTGTTGTACTGTCTTTTGCAATAATAATAATAATAACATAGCACCATTCTCATACTCAAGGTCACTGTACAATTACAGTAAAAAATGGCAGGTTAAAATAATGGTGTTGGGAAACTGGTAAGTTTTATTATTGGCTTTAAAAGGGGGCAAAGAACAGCTACAGTCCTGGGGGTGGCGTTCAGAAAGATCAGCCGTATGTTCATCTTTCTGTTCACAGTACACCAGGATTATTTGAAATGAAGGTATGAGATGATGTGTAGAACTGCAGGAGATAAAAGATAATGGTGTTGAATTGGTAGCATTTGAGGAGGTTCATATAGGAGATTGGCATTGGGGTTTTAAAGTGCACTGCGGTTGGGGAGAGTTTTAGAGTTTTTGGTGTTGATGTATCTGTGTGCAGCCTCAGATCTTAGAAGTTTGCTCTTGTGTATGTGTGTTTCTGAGTATTTGGGAGAGCATCTTCAAGCATATTCCCTTTAAAAGAACAAGTTCCCAGTGCTGCTCCAGTTAATTAAACCCCTGGGTTCATTCGCACCGTCTGCTTTATGTCTCCCCACGCCACAGCCTGATGAACAGCCCTCCCGGTGCCCCCACCCTTCATCCTTCTCTCTCCCCCTCTGTCCCCATGTCCCCTTCAGCCTTCTCTACTCCTCTTTTCCGCCTGGCTGCTCTTGCACAGTGACAGGCAGCGCCAGCAGCCCACATGCAGTAATCAGCCCGCGGGAAGATGGCGCTGCGCTCAGCAACCCTTCTACTAGTCCGTTTAAAGGAGAGATTTGCCACTTCTTCATACTTATGTGTTCATTATTACCAGGTTGTAAATATATGTTAATGAAATCAGAGCTTTTTTTCCCCTTACTTTTTAGTGAACATTCTTGATTCCTTGTGCTCAGCAACCCTTCTACTGTTTCTTTTAAAAGGGAAATCTGCCACTTCTTCATAATTATGTCTGCAGTTAACTTTATCAACATTTTCTTTAAAGTTCAGTCCTTTTCAGTAGTGAAGCACTGATATAGAATAACTGATAAATAACACCTTATTGTGACCAATACTGATATCACTGGACTTCTTTTTTTTTAACATTTGAACATGAGTTCATTATAATTCATATATGTAAAGTGCAGTGAATGTAAGGCAGGCAAAAACTCCATAGATGCCATCACACAGTTAAATCTTAATTAATTTTATGTTACTTAGCAACAACTCCAATTAAGAGCTATTCTCAACAGTGGGTAAATGTAGCAGTTTATGCACTTTTGATGGTATGGTATTGGTAACATGTATGCACTTGCATTCCTGTCTGGACAGGGAATCAAACCCTGGTTTTCAGTGTGTGGTTTGGTTTTATCCACTGCTGTATTCATTTGTGTGGGTAGTGCAAGTTTGTGACTAAATGAGTGTCATCAGTGTGTGCTTAGTCAAAACAATTGATGTTAAATCATCAATCGTAATAACTGGCCATAATTCCAGTTCCTTTTTTTGGTGAATATGTCACCCATACTTTCACCCCTAATTATCTTTCACCCCCACTGACTCTACATGATTCCTTGCGCTCAGAAACTTTTCTGCTAGTCTGTTTAAATGTGAAATTGACTACTTTTACATATACCGTGTCCATTGCTATTATGTCAATGCCATCAAAACATCAGGGTCAGTATTTTTTGCATACAAATATTCCTTCTTGAGTTCTTAAACCCAGATCATATCTCATTTTCATGCCTTTGTAGCACCCCCCGGTGAATGGGCATTTCAATGGGGCAGCGTGTCTAAAACATCAACTTACAGAACATGGCATACAGTTGTGTACAAAAGTTTGTTCACTGTCTAAGTGAAAATAAGTTAACACATTCCTTAGAAGGATCTGTCTTAAATATGACATTTTTCTGAAAATTTGAACACACTATTTCTAGAGTTTAACATATTGGAAAAAAAACATTTTTCCAATACATTTGCACAGGCCTTTCCTTTCTGAATTTGTCTTGTTCTTATATGCCTAAATGTTATAATCAGCTCATAGACAGCAAAATGTGGGTAAATACGGTTTACATCCATGTTAATAATGTATTTTAATTGCAGTTTCAGTTCCAACAACTTGTGATTAATATTAATATTAAAAAAACGTAAATAAATGAGGCCCTGAGTAATCGTTAAAACAAAACATACATAAGACATACTTTTTTTTTCCTTCATGAAATTTATGTCATTAAATCATCCTCTTTCTGGGAAGGCTTTACACTAGATCTCAGAACATTACTTTGAGTATTTGACTGCATTCAGCCACAAGAGCATTTGTTAAGTAAGGTACTGGCTGTTGGGCGATTTTATTTCTCTTTTTTTTGTGGTGCCCCTCTCTG